GGCTGGGCACCCTGGATTTCACAGTTTCAAAGCACTGGGCTCCATTCAATTTTCCTCAGAGCACAGCCTCGAGGTGGTACATCTTAATAACCCTTTAACTCCCATGAGTGACCAATACTGAATTTCTCCTTACAATATCAATACAATATCAAGCAGACAAGTGTTGAGAATAAAGAAACTGAATATCAACTAGCTAGGAGATTATTTGTCGATCCAATATCTAATTCTCTAAACTAACATCATAAGAGTTGTATCAATTATGGTAGACAGTAAGGAAAATAACTAATAAGATCTTGGAAGTGAAAGGGTTAATATGTAGAAACAACCATCATGATACTTCTGAGGTCCTGATAGGGTAAATTCTGATGGGCGACATGGCGTTGAAACCGTGAGCAACATCAGGGAAATGAAAATGTGACTTCGAGCACAACATTAATGAAATTGCGACAGCGACATCAGAACCTTCCGAAATGGCAACGTAACAAAGTTTGAAATTCAGACAGGCGACATCTATACCCCCTCCCCCCTAACAGGGCCTCACTTCTTTCTGCACATCTTTATAATAAGAATACATGTTAAAAGGAGCTTGAAATTAGGATGAACTCAACTCTGATTAACTCTTATTGTGGGAGCTTATATTGTCGTGATCTTCATCTAGTGTTCTGGAAGGGTATAAGCCAGATGCCTGCAGTGGAGTCTTAATGTCTAATTAGGGTAATCATAGATCAAATTAAGGGTGTCTTGAATTAATAAACATTCCTACTTTAATTACCAGTTATATTTATTTCTTAAGAAATATCTTTATTCCTTTGTTGTTGACAGCTACCTACTACATAATTATAGAGACTGTCAGATGCAGTGTTTTATAGATCTGCACTAATTGTTCCACCCTTTTTAATTGAATAACTTTCTTTAAGTTCATTTGGGCTATTCAGAAAAAGATGCAATTACATGAAATGTTTTTCTCTCCAGAGAACTTTCTTTTTGTAATTTTTGGAAAGTAAATTATTTGGAGACTTTTACTGTCTTACTAATGCAGGCATATAGAGTATGGCAGGACCCTTGTTGTCTGGTTCTGGCACATTCCTGTGCTTCTGGTGGTTGATCCAGAATTAATTAAGGTAAACAGAATATTTTTTTTCACATTTAACACAGTGACTATATTAACACTCAAGATTTGATTGCATTTGCTTTTATGAGCATCTAGATTTATGACCAGTTTAAATTCACTCAGCTGATCAAAGACTGTTTGTCAACTGAAACTAAGCTAACCTTTTTTGTGTAGGATGTGCTTGTAGTTAAGTGCCAGCCAAAAGATGCCATGTCCTATGAAATACTTGGAAGTCTTTTTGGACAAAGGTATCAATTGTCTTAATTCAGTTTTGGTTTGTTCCTTTTTTCTTCTTTCCCTTGATTCATATATCACCCTTCAGTTGTATTCTTTATATATTCTTCTTGCTTTTCTATCTTTCTTTCTGTCCTATCTTGAACTCCTTTTCAATCAATTCTTCTGGCCTACCTTCTTCTTTCCCCCACATCTTTTCTTTCATTTCCTCCTTTTTTATATATATGAATTGTAACTCCAAGGGTATTAAGATTTTGAAAGCTAGGTGGCATGCCCTTTTAAAGGTGTGTCAGTAGATGGAATTCAAGAATTACAACTGAAGACTCATTTCAGATCCTTGTTTTAAAATCCAAAACTCAGCATGAGACTAAATCTATATTTTACACAGTTATGTGAACTCTCTATAAACTCAGACAGCAAGTCCACACTAAAACAAGCTTTGTTGCCAACAATACGTTATAACTCAATCAAGTTACTGATCTGGCTTCCTTTAAAGCAAGAGCCATAACTATGAGAAAAAATATAAGACTTTGATTATGTGAGGCTTACATGGAGACTAAAATGTAGGATAGTACCATAAACAGAATTTTGAGACATTGCAGGGCCTAAAGAAACTTTGGGGTTTGATTAAAAAAACACTACATACAAGGACTAACGATAGTGAAAGCGGCAAGGCACCAAAAAAATAAAAAAGGAGATAAAACATTGTGTGTGGTGAATATGTTCAGCTTCGTATCGCTATATGAGAAGCATTCTGATATATACTCTCAGAGAGTTCGCACAATGTTTATTTTATTGCAAGAAAGTTTGGGATTGAAAACCTCCAGCCCATTGTGGGGAACTGGGGAGGTATGGCAAAATTCTGTAAAATTTAGAATACTGGAGTGGGAAATTTTGGAATTTACTTCTATTGTAAAGTTGGATATTCTTAAAAAAAAAAACTGACAAGTTTTCATGGCACCATTTTGCCACCAGCTGCACAACAGCTAGCTGTACTACAGTTATTAATTTACCTAAACTATATTCCAACAAGGAGGGTATTTGACTTCCAGTTGTCCATTATTATTAATGATTATTTTCACTGTTGAATTTTGCAAAATTAATTGTTCACAGGATTTTGTACAATTCATTTGTTTTAGATTTCTTGGCTGTGGATTGGTCACCAACCTTGATCATGGGTCTTGGAAGAAAAGACGTGCCATAATGCATCCGGCCTTTCATCGCAAGTAAGCAATTCTCTATTGGACAAAGAGCAAAATTTGAAAGTTTTTTGTGAAATGATAATGTAGTTGTAAGAGTATTGTTCAACTAAAGTGACATCTGGAAATTCTTGAACAAATTGGAAAACAGAAGAAGTAGGCCAGTTGCAAGACTTTGTAAACATTCTCAAAATTCCTTCAGTACTTTATATTATTACACGACACACGCAGTCAGAGGGCCAATAACTAAAATCAACCAATCAAAATGCTCTATTGCCGGTCCAATATTCTCTCAGTATTGGACCGGGCACTGTCCCGAATGGTCCCAAATGATACTGCACTTGCGTCCCTTTGAACTTCAGTCGTATAATAAATCTCTTATTAACCAAGCTTGCTCGGGACCGTACTGTAAGAATATCGGCCCTCGGTCATTTTTGTATGGACCTCGCTGTGCTCGGTCCGTACTGTCAAGACCTCGGGCCGATATTCCCCCAGTACGGCCCTCGCTCTTGGTTAATAAGATATATGTAATTGGTGTAATTTTTCAGGAGTCTAAAAGATTTGATGGGTTCTTTTAACTCCTCTGCTGATCTGTTGCTTGAACACCTGTGCACAATGGCTGATGGACAAACAGAAATTCAAATGTTTAACCAGTTTACTAAGGCAGCATTAGATGTCATTTGTAAGGTAATTTATAAAAAAATAGTTTGTCTTTTGCCTCTTAGAATTTCTGGTTTCCAGAGAATACTTTTCTAGTTGGGTAGAAGGAGGAGGGGCTCTTCCATATTCTCCCCTCTCCTCCCCCCCCCTTTCTCTAGAGACTTAACCCTTAAAAATTCTCCATTCTCACATAGTACTCTTAATTCTCTTTAATTACCTTTGTCAAATCAATCAGATACATATAGTTAAAATATATTGACTCTAATCTTTCTTATTGACCCCTCCATTGTGGTGGAAGGTTATTTGCCAGGACACCTTCATTTGAATGCCCAAATGTTTGCATGAAATATTTGCTTTATTCATTTTAAATATTATTCTCATAACAGTGACCTTAGCTCCACCTCTTCCCCCTGGCCAACTGCAGCTATTCCGAATGTTTTCAGGATTCTAATTAGCACTGTTAAAAAAAGTATGTGTAGGTGTGTGGTGTTGGGGGGAGGGCCTGGAGTATGTTTGGCGACGAGGTTTTAAAATTTGTTCACTATCAAACTATTTTGTCAACAGTCATCTGTACACATTTAAATTATAGATACCCTTTACAAAGGGTCTTGTGTTTGTTTGTCATGTTTGTACTTGGTTACGATACTGAAGCTGATTGGACTTGCTATAACTCACAGGTGGCATTTGGCATGGACCTAGAAATTATAAGCGGAAAAGACAACAAGTTTTCTGAAGCTGTCTCTTTGAGTTTTCATGGAGTAGAAGAAGCATCTTTTGACATATTCCATAGGGTGTGTTCATTATCTTATCATTATCCAGCATTACCTCAAGCTCAAGGTTTAAGATTTAACTTCCAACTTCCCCATTGTGCAAAAACGTCAACCGGTAAGAAAAAAGTGCTCTAGGGTGAGGTGGGTGGCTGACTATTGGTCGAAGAGATGACCCCCAGTCACCCATCCCATATACCATAAATTGAGCTTGTGATGCTTGTTACTCTCTTGGACTAAAACAATGTTCAGAGTGCCCCACCCCTCCCTCCCTGCTAAATGCCTTTTTATGAGGCGTTGAAATTTTGGAAAGTGATTTCGGTGGTTCAATTTTAAATTTCACTGATTAGGGTTCCCGTGCTCCTTGGAAGTCCTTGAATTTAATATTTGTTTTCAAGGATTTGAAAACCCTTGAACTTAGACTCAGGTCCATAAAAATTTCTATGAAGTCCTTGAAAATAAGTGCAGATGAATCGAAGTCGAAGTTTTCTTTTGTTTCCGGTGTTGAAAGTGTAAGTTTCTAGCACAAAGTGCGAAAGCGAGTTTTCCTTCCAAACCCCACGTCCGATTATGATGTTTGACACATGATTTTTACATATTTTGTGCCTTACAAAGACATGAATGTGTTTCTGTCTGTTACTTTTAACAAGAAAGAGCAATGTGTTTTATTTCTATTAGCTCCTATTTAATGCAAAAGGTCCTTGAATTTGAGAGCCAATGTCCTTGAAAATGACCTAAAAAGACCTTGAAAGTCCTTGAGTTGGGTTCCTGAAAAAGTGTAAGAACCCTGTGTTATCAATTTACGGGTGCTACCTTATAGCAAGTGTCCTAAACATTTTTGTAAACGATTGTGGGTAAAAATTTGTTTGAAATTGCCAGCGAACTCCGATGCAAAATAACCACCTTTACCTATTTTTCATCACTGTTTTGCAGTTCAACGTTTTCCAGTATCCCTTCCAACGAAAAGTTGTTAAAGCTGTGCAGTTTTTGCGTGAAACTGGAAGGAAAGTGATTGAAGTGAGAAAGCATGCCATGGCAAGAGGAGAAGAGGTTCCTGATGATATATTACAACGGATTATTCAGCAGCAAGGTTAGTTTTAAAGGCTTATAATTAGTCAGACAGTCGGTCAATCAGTTGGTGAGTCACTCAGTCAGCCAGTCACTCATTCCGTTTCTCACACAGCTTGTGTGTCGGCAGTAAGTCAGCCAGTCAATCACGTAGTAAGCGAGTAAGTGAGTGAGTGAGCGAGCGAGCGAGCGAGCGAGCGAGTGAGTGAGTGAGTGAGTGAGTGAGTGAGCGAGCGAGCGAGCGAATGAGTCAGTCAGTTAGCCGTCGGTTAGTCGGTCAGTCAGTCAGTCAGTCAGTCACTCGTTCAATTAGTGAGTGAGTCAGTCCGCGTGGTAAAGGCAGTAAAATTTTTGCGTGAAACGGGAAGGAAAGTGATTGAAGTGAGAAAGCATGCCATAGCGAGAGGAGAAGAGGTCCCTGATGATATATTACAACGGATTATTCAGCAGTAAGGTTTGCTAACCGAGTGTGTTGTTTATCATGGACAGGGTCAGATTAGCAAAAGGTAGAGGAAGCATAATTTTGTGCGTAATTCTTCATTTACCATCTTTTGCTTTACGTTTTCTGTTTTCAGAAGAAATTCCTGAGCTAGGAATTGAAGACTTGGTTGATGATTTTGTGACTTTCTTCATCGCTGGTATTTATTACTTGTAATTTCCTCCATCTAAATGAATGATTTTAAATGCTCTATATAGTTATTTGTCCAAATTGAAAGCTGTCAAAAATAACCTTACTGTGTAGCATTCCTTGAAAAATGTTTTATGATATTTTTTTGTGTGTCTGTGGTATAACGGTTCTTAGAACCCCTCTGTATACCCCTTTATGAACCTGAAAGTTGTTCAATGTAGCAGGAACTTGCTAGACTTGCATCTACCACTTAAAACGGGTCCAAGTAAGGAATGACGAACGCCTCTACTGTTTTCGAATTCCACTTTGTTTAGTTCTAAAGTGCTGGTAACTTTGTTTATATTTAAATTTGTTTGTTTTTCGTCTTAGGTCATGAGACTACTTCTAGTTTGTTGGCGTTTTGTGTTCTTGACCTCGGAGACCATCCTGATATTCTGGACAGGTGAGGCCGGTGAAGTCAACCAGGCTATTTATACCTTCAGGGATACTCGCACTTCTAATTTGGTAAGAGAGAAGTACTGGTGGGTCGCTAGGTTTTCGTCTTTCTCACTCATTAGTCTCCAGTTATTAGTTCCCCAGTCGAGTGTCGACAGTACTCTGGGATTGCGTTGTATTTGCTGTACTTGGGTCTGTGATTGGTCCAGAAAACTCGCGCCACTCTCACAAGAAAACTAAAACCAATCATGAGTTCTCATTGGCTCTTAAATTAATTTTCCTTCCTTCTGATTGGCCGTTGTGAGTACTTTGGTTTCGGTTTTTACGACACTCAATCGAAAAGCGCTCTAATGCGCGTGGCAAAAGAATTCAGTGGGGAAGAAAGTACTTATGGGAAACCTGTCTCTCTACTTATCATCTCCACGCTCTCTTACGTGTGCTCCATGATGATGAATGGAAACAAGTCATTTTTTAAGTAGTTTGTCGTGTAAGCTTGCACCAAACTTTCAGACCACTCACCTTATTACAACTGTTCCCTATTGCCACGTGCACAAACATGCATATACTGTTGTGTTTGTTTGTAGCCTGGTTGGAGAAGTGTTTGACGTTCTGGGCGAAAAACAGCATGTCTCGTTCGATGACCTGGCTAAACTCCACCAATTGGGATTGGTAAGGCGTCTTTTTGAGATCAGTGGTGTTATCATTGTCATGCTCAGACCAAGAGATTTTTATTTTCACTTGGCAGACGCGATGAAATTAGAGTAAGAGCTGAGCTAAAGAAGGAGTAAATGCATTTTACCTTCTTGAAGCGCGGGAAAACGAAGTCGCGACTGTTTGATTGCGTAGTAAAGAAAACGAATGTAGTCCTGGCTCACTTCAGTTCGGGAATCAATAGAGAATTACTCAAAGTTATGCCCCTCCAAGGCAGTCAGTGAAGTTTATTTTATACTCCCAGTGCCAAGAGGTTATCAAGACTTGTTAAAGACATTTTTTTCTTATCAATCTAGGTGATAAAAGAGACATTGCGCCGTCACCCACCAGCGACTGGTAACATACGAAAGATTGAAAAGGATCAAGATGTCGGAAGATATAAAATACCTGCAGATGTCGCCGTCATTGTACAGTATTTTTGCACATTTTTGTTTCCCCTGTTAATAACGATTCTCAACTTGGAAGCAGTTCTATTAAGCTGATGCAAGAACTAATAAAAGTGCGAATTTCAATGGTTACTTTAGGTGGAAGAGACTGATTAGGGGTTGCAAATTAGCGAGCAAGTTTTGTTTTCGAAGCAGTTCTATTGAGCAGATGCAAGAACAAATGTAAGCGCGAGTTTCCAAGGGTTACTTTTGGGTGGAAGAGACTGATTAGTGGTTGCAAAATGGCGGGCAGGTCATGATCGTATTTTTTCCCTTCCCTGCCCTACGTATACCATCGAGCTGTCGGAGTAACCCTGCGATCAGCTAGTCCGCAAGGAAAATATCTCGCAGTCAAAGTTACGACAGTTGTGGGTCACTGTGGACCATAATTTATCATGAATAAGTTAGCTCACAGTGGTAAGCCTTGTTAAGTGCGTTTGATTCTCCTTGCAGACGAGCACCTATGTCGTCAGTCACTTTCCTGAATACTGGAAAAACCCAGAGGAATTCAACCCTTACAGATTTGACGATGATGAAGTACTTCGAAGGTATTAACAAGTCGAGAAAAATTCATATTTAATACTTTTTTTAGATTTTTTTTTGAAGGCGGCATCTTTCCTAATGCGCTGGAATAGCTTGCTGACTCATTTTAAGTTTTTTTTTTTTTTTTGCAAAGGGGTTTTGTCTTGCAATTATTTCCAACCTTATCCATCCTTGGCTTTGTCTATAGAACGTGTTGTAAGTTTGCTTTTCTTGTCTGTTTTCAGGTGTCATTACAGCTACTTCCCATTCTCACTTGGACCTCGCAATTGCATCGGACTAAACTTCGCCCAGGTAAACTTGAGACTTTTGGTTCTTTGGAAGACTGGACGCGGTTACATGCATGTTAGTGAAAACGAACATGTGACAGCGAAACATTTTGACATGTAAAGGGAGTTGTTAGGCTGTTTTAAGGACCTGGCCTGGTTATTCGATTTCTTTCTTTTAACTTGCTTCGCGTATATATTTTCCTGCATTATTTCGAGTCAAATTGCAAGATGAGTTAACGAGAAGTAGGAAAATGTTTGTGTGGCTTATGAGTGATTAAAGGATATTTTCGGAAAGTAATTGTTACCTTTGCAGTGGCAATTTTATTTCTGTAACGGCTTTCAATTTTTGGTCAACCACTTTCATTACCTCAGAACCGCTTTTTTATTCTCCTGAAGACCAGACATCAGTCAGCTAACTTGCTCTAATCTTTTTTTATATATCAGATCGAGGCCAAGGTTCTGCTGTCACGCTTTCTCCAGACCTTCAAGTTCTCTTTGGTACCTGGTCAGTCACGCGATGTTCTTGAAAGAGGGACCCTTCGACCCAAGGATGGCGTGAGGTGTACCTTAACTAGACGGCATTAGAAACAAGTTTGTTCCGTCAAATTGAGTGTCCTTTTTAGCTGTTTTTACACAAAGAAACTATTTATGGCTTACAGCCTGCTTTACACTGTATATTATTATTAGTCACCCCAAAAAAGCCACAAGGATCATTATTTAAAGCGCGCTGTCTTTCGAGAGTACTTTATATTGTGCGTGTAGTAGAGATATGAAAGAGGAAAAAGAGCTTTTCCAATATAAAACCGTAGGAAATGGTGTGACATTTATATCCTACTTTCTGACGATGATTGATCCAGCAAGGGCCCAGGAAGGACTCTTAAGGGAAGGGGAGAAGGGTCAGGAAAAAGGTCTCTCAATGTGGTCTTTTTAACACACCCTTATGAGGCATGTCAAGATGTATCAACAGATTAATTATCCTTTATT